AGCCCAGCTTTTTGTGTGTGTGTGCCTGGCGGCGTAATTACTGATTTGATTCCAATCCATTATTTAGACAATTGAACCTACAATCTCGTCTTTAGTAAAATGAGGCGAAGTCAGATTTGATTACAGGTTCAGTCCCAGCGACAAGAGCTCGAAACCCGATGGGTTAATAACAGATCACGAGTAAATTATTCATGATTTTACGAGCTCTTTAGCTCCATTGAATCGGCCTAATTGAGAGGAAAAAAAAAAAAAAGAGGGGAGAGAAAGCCCGGGTCCTCCCCCTCCCCTCGGCCCCTCGCTCCTCCCCGGATCCGATTCTGGGGAATCTCGACCCGGCCCCGGGCACTGGGGGCGGGAGTGACGGAGTCTGGGGCGCCGGCCAAACCCGGGCCCCGCGGCCACCTCCCCTGCCGCCTCCCTTCCCCAGCGCAGCCCCTGCCCTCGACCCCGGCCAGTCTCGCCACCTCGGGCCGGCCCTTTCCCTTTTTCTCCACACCCCCGCCAGTAACGGCTTCGGAAAACGGTTCCCCTTCAGGGACCCCTTCTCCCGGAGCCCCGGGACTCCGCTCCATCGCCCGCGCCCGCCACCCCGCATTCCCCCCTGCTTCCGGGACTCGCTCTGCCCTCGGCTTTCCCCGTGTCTCTCCTAATTTCTCCCTTGTCTTTGTAGCTGTCTCTCTGGTTCTCCCCGGCTCCATAGCTTTATTTTCCCCCGTCTCTCCTCTTCTTTTTCCTGGCTATGTCCATCTTCCCTTCCTAGCCCCTCTCCTTTTTTTCTCTCTCCTTTCCGTCTTTCTGCCTCTGTCTCTTTCCTCTCTCTGCCCTTTCTGTTTCCCTCCCCCACACCCCCCCCCCCCACCTAAGCGACACTCAGGGCAAGTCTCTTGGGCCCACGGGGGCGCCGGGGTCCCCACGGAGCTCATTAACAGCAGCCAGGCCCAGACGGAGGCTGGGTGGAGGGATGGGCCCAGAGATCCCCCGTGGGGAGGCCTGCCCCACCCCCGGTGGAGCTGGGCACTGGGGGAGAGAAGAGGGGTTGCTCACCTCAGCGGGTTCAGTGCGGTCCCGCGGATAGAGCTGGAGTCATCCTCTGATCCTCTTTTAATGGCTGGGCCTCCCTCCTTCCCTCTGGGCGCTCTCTGTGGGAATGCAGCCCGACGGGGAGTAGGGGGCCTGGAAAGGGGCCCTACTCTGGAAAGGGGCTCTTAGGAGGTGTGGCCCCCAGCTAAGGGCACCAAGGTGAGGGGTAAGACCTGTATCTTGCAAATCCTTTCTGGGCAGGAGGAGGAGTAGGTCATCAGGAGAGCAAGAGGACTTCCGAGGTTGTTTTGCTGGATAAAATGCAGGACACCCAGTTAAACTGTCAATTTTGGGTAAATAGTGAATGCAATTTTAGGATAAAGGTATCCCATGCAATATTCAAATTGTAATAAACAAAGAATGATCTTAATGTTAATATGTCTCATGTAATATTTGAATTCTAGATAAACAACAAATTTTTAATATAGATGTGTCCTATGTAGTACTTGCATTTTAGGTAAATTGCAAATAAATTTTTAGTATAGGTATATCCCATGCAATATGTGGGACATATGCTAAAAAATATTTTCTGTTTATCTGAGATTCCTATTTAATTGGGCAACCTGTATTTTTATTTGCTAAATTTGGCAACTCTATTGTAGGTATGTGGCAAGGCACAAGATATTTTCCCAGATCCCCACTTTAGGGGGGCTAATGTTGTACCTTCTATGATGCTCTCCCCAAGGCAAGATCTTCCATGTGGGGTGACTTCTGATGTGATGAGGGGGTCTTAGGAGGGGTCCTGTATGTCCTCAGCAGCTGCCAGGCTGCTGAGCAACTTTCGGAGCTCAACCCAAGATTTTCACCCAAACTCCCCAGCCCCAATGCCATCCAGGCACTGGCAGCTTACAACCCCCCCCCCTCCCCCGTGAGGTCCTTTGTGGAAGGGACAGGCTCCCTCCTTCCTTTGTGGTGTAGTGGAAGGAAACAGGGAGGGCTGCAGTGTTGAATCTAGGCTCAGCCGGTACCAGTGGTGTGATCATGTGCAAGTGGCTTCATTTCCCTTAGGGTTCTATAGATTCCACATCTCTAAAATGGGCATTGTTGCTGCCATCTCTCAGAGCAATGATGTACAATGATGTATAAAGCCAAAGGCATACAATAGGTGTCTACTTCATGGTAATTTCTTCCTCCAGCTTCTTCCTCTTCCAGTTAGAACTCTGGCACTGTCTGTGAGACTGCTGCGGATGGCTTAACTTCTCTGAGCCTCATTTGCCCCATTTGTAAAGCCAGGGAAACAATCACCTCAGAGGGTAGTGGTGAGGATTAAACTGTGAAATGTAATTTAGACCTTCTGCTCAGTGTCAGAGGTACAGGGACTGTTCAGGACTTTAGGGTGTGGGAACCAATGAGGGCAAAATGAAAGTGAGTCTGTCAATCAGCAGATTCTAGGTGCTAGCCCCAGACACCACAAGGGGAGACGGGGGCGGGGGGGGGGGGCAGCATTCATCCTTAGAGCTCCTTGGGAAACAGGAAATGTGCAGGCCCAGAGACTTTGTGCTGCTGTGTCCAAAGTCAAGCGACTTCCTCTTTTGAACCTGTTTCAACAAATGTAAGAGAAGGGAAAATAATACCTGCTGCTCATGGGGTGTAAAGTCCTTTAGCACATCATCTGGAGTCCAGTCACCTGTCAACAAGTTGTAGCTGCTGCTGCTGCTGCTGCTGTTATTATTATTATTATAACACGATGGCTCAGAATGGTTTTTGGATGCTCCCAGAGCCGGAATTGATCCTGCAGTTCCTAGTTGAGTGATCCTGGGCAGATCCAGGCCTCAGTTTCTTCATCTATAAAATGGTGATAATGTCCCCAACTCAGGGTGGTGTAAACATGCTGCCTGTTTGAGGGTAGAGATATTTGGGAGCTGGTGGGGGGGTGTGGATTTAGCAAGGGGGTCAGGCGGGAAGTTCACCTACCACTTCTGCGTCTCCTTCCCAGCACTGAGCTGCAATGAGAACGACGCAGAGCACCTGGACCGTGACCAGCCGTACCCAAGCAGCCAGAAGACCAAGCGCATGCGCACTTCCTTCAAGCACCACCAGCTTCGGACCATGAAGTCTTACTTTGCCATTAACCACAACCCTGACGCCAAGGACTTGAAGCAGCTCGCGCAAAAGACGGGCCTCACCAAGCGGGTCCTCCAGGTCAGCTGGGGTTGGGGGTGGGAGTGCTGCCGCTGCTGCCACCAGAGCCTGGGTTGGAACCCTACACCCACCGTGGTCCTTGGAGAGACATCCCACCCTATGTCTGCTTTTCTGTGTTTCTTTCTCATTCTCTTCCTTCATCTGGGCAGTATCTCTCTGTGTTTCAGGTTTTTTTCTATCTTTACATCTTCTCTCTTTAGTTTTTGCCTGTGTGTGTGTTCCTCTATCCTCTTTACCTCTGTACTCAGTCTCTTTCTTGTAAACAATTCTTAGTTACTATTTATTGTCCAAGTGACACCAAAATATGTTGACATTGTAAAAGGTCAAACATTTCAGATAAATCCCGAGGCTCCCACTTGGCCCCTCATTCCAGGACATCCGCCCTGGGATGGGCCTGCTGTTAGCTCCTCCTTCTTCTCACTCACTCTAGTTTCTTCCATTTTTCTCTCTGACTCTGTCTCACTCCTCTCTTCTCTCTCTTTCTTTCTTCTGGCATGTCTCTAGATTTACCTTCTATCTCCCAGACTCTCCTGGAAGCAAGATCTGGTGGTGGTGGTGGTGGTGGTGGTGGTGGTGGTGGTGGTGGTGGAATGTGTGTGCAGAGTCCCTGGGAGGTCAAGGGTGGGGGGCTCAGCTGGTTGGCTCTGCCATAGGGCATTGGGGGAAGTGGCTGGGTGCCTGTGATACTGAGTGGGTTGTACTTGTATGTGACGGTGCTTTTTTGATAGAGGATCCAGGACTTTCGTGAGATATCTATGACCCCAGAGATGTTAAGAACGGTTGTCTGGATAGGAGGGGATCCCAGGTTCCTGCATGATTCAAACTTGTGGCAGAGCCTTGGGCCAACAGTTCTTAACTCTCCAGCTCTTCCTCTTCCTCATTTCACAGTGTCAGGGAAGTCACTTAGCTCTTTGATCTTCAGCTTCCTCATACATGAAATGGACACAAGAAATTATGCCACAGGATTATCAAAGGAACCGTTGAAATGATGTGTCTATGACAGTGCCTGGCACTTAACTGCTCAGTGGATAGTAGCTAAGAATAACCATAAGTAGATTAAATAGCTGGCATTCATTAACTAGTATGAACAATTATTCTGGTTGCTGGACTCAGTTTCTCCATCCGTACAAAGATAAAGCAGGAGAATACTCCCTTTGTAGCAAGTTTAACCAATTTACTCTTCAGGAAGCATGGTTATAGTGACAGTGATGCACATTTTTAGGTAAGATAACCTAGGGATGAAGTGACCCGACACGACCTCACAACAGAACTGGGGGGGGGATGAGACTCGTTTAGGTCAGTCTGACCCACCCTCCAGCTCCATGTCTCAGGAACTGAGCGGGCGGCGGTGCCTCCCTAAGAAAGTTCCTGTGAACCGTGAATAAGGAAAAAGAAAGGAAAAACTGTCCTGGGGCGAGTTGCAACAGTGACGCGGGCGCTGATGCCCAGGGAGCCGGGAATCCGGGCCGCGGCAGCCTTAGCCCCGCTGTGCAGCCCCGCCGGCTGGGGCAGCGCGGGTGGCTCCCGTCCGCCTGGACCCGGTGACGTAACAGGGCGGCGAGGCCCGGCCAATTGTGCGCCCATGCGCCTCCGCGGGCACCCCTCCCGCCTGGAGCCAAGGCTGCTCTCCCCACTTGCCTGGGCTCTCGAGGAGTCGCAGACGTTCCTGCTCCTGGAAAGTCTCGGGTCCTCTGGTCTGTTTCCTTCGGACTTCATCTTCTTGGGGTTAGGTCGGGGACTGTCCTTGACGCCTTCTCCCTTCAGCCCTGTTCGGACGACTCGGGGTGCCGCCCCTTCTTTGGTTAGTAGAACACTCTGTTCCTCCACCTACAAGAGGCCCTGTGGAGTGGGGTGATGGAGCTGGGGGGGGGCAGCGAGGGAGGGTGGTGGTTCAGAGGCGAGGAGCGGGCAGAGGCTTGACAGCTGGGTTCAGGAAGACCTTGGCTGGGTTCATTGGCTGTGTCTTGGACAAACTAGTTAACCTCTCTGAGCCATAGATGTCTCATCTGTAAAAAGGGCATCAATTATCCAGGTTAACTGAAATAAATTAAATAAGATAAGAAGTAAATACCTGTAGTTGAGTTTGAACAATCAGTGAGGTACCAGCCTCTGCCAGCCTTGGTGAGGCGGGAAGTTTGGTTACCTGACTTAGGAGCAAAGCAGATTTCCCGGATAGCGATCTCTTGTTCCTTCATCTGACTAAATATCTGTTGGCATCAGGCCCTGGGGACACAGAGATGACTGGACCATAGTCCTGGCCCTGAAGAAATTCACCTGCTAAGGTACAGAGACAGACTCACCAGCTGGGGAGGTACTGTGGGAGGTTAGAGGAGGAACCAGGCCTCACAACCTCCAGGCATCACAACCTCCCTCCCCTAACTGTCCAGATGAGAACACTGAGATGACCAGATGACTTCCGCTGCCCAGAGTCACACTTTGCTAGCAAGTTGCAGGGCTGGATCCAAATTCTGGCTTGTCTGATCGTTGGATGTCATTCCTTCTCCTATGAGCCAACCCAACACTGGCTGTCTCTGAGTGTGAATATCAATTAGGGTCTGTGTATTGGGTCTGGGGCACTGTTCTTTCTTCTTCCCAGTCCCTCAGATCTCCTGCACAAATCTTTAATATTCCCTAAGTGCTCATGATTATGCAGCAGTTTATAAAGTGTTATCTTTCCAGCCACTTAACTATCCCTTAATATTTTTCTGCCCATTTTACAGACGAGAAGCTTAACTCTAGTGAGATGAAGTGATTTGCTCCTGGTTACAGGAGCCAGGCATTGGCAGGGTGGGGCTTTCTCCTAAGTGCCCTGCCTGCTGACGGGACATCTGGAGGATGTGGAATGGGAGCAGTTTTGGGGAGTATGGCTTTGGAAAGTAACAGGCTGGTTCCATCCTCTCTGGCTTACTAGCAGTGTAATTTGGATGCTTTAATTTCTCCTTTCTGAGCTTGATTTCTCATCTGTGAAGTGGGGATGATAATAAATCCTACCTTGAGGATTTCTGAAGATTGAGACATGAATGAGAAGACTCTAGCATGGTGCCTGCTGGTACACAGTGGGTGTCCATTAAACAGTCCCTAATCACTTGTCTACACCAGCAGGATGGTACTAGGCCTCAGGTGCCTCCTGCAGGTTCTCCCTGCAGAGTCACGGCCCATCTCAATCCCTCAGAGAGGCTGCATGGCAGGCCCAGGATTTTGGAGGTGGGTGATGTAGAGTATGTGTATGTGTGCGTGCATGGAGATGGAGGTGTTCTAGGCTGTTACTGAACTAGCATGATAGGCCTGGGATGCAGTGTCCCTGCTGGAATTTGGAGTCAGCAGATATGAGGCCCATACTCAGCTCTCCTACCTATTCACTGAATGATCCTGGAGTCAGTGACTTCATCTCTGTGAGCCTTAGTGGCAATAATACTGATCTTACTGAGTGGTTGCAAGGAGTAGGTGAGATGGCACAAAGCGTGATTTACAGCGTGTATGTTTGGGGCTGAGTGCTTGCTGATCTCACACACATACTCATGCAGCACAATTCAGTCTGCCAACCTCTCTTGCACACATTTTAAAAATGTGATGACCTTCATTTTGCAGATGAGGAAGCTGAGGTTCCACGAGTCTAGGATCCTGGCCCTGAGTCTCACGGCTAGCAAGTGATGAAACCAGGAGTCAAACCCAGATTGGTCTGATTCCAAAGCTCTTTGCAGTGTTACATGTAGGAATTGTGGCTTTCTCCCTTGGATCTAGCTGCAGATTCCAAAGGGAGAGAAGGGAAGGTGTAGGTCATAGACACCATGTCTTGCTAGGAAAGCAGAAACCTGTCTTAGAGCTCTCTTGCATAAAAGGGGCTCAAAGGTGTTGTCAACAACAGTGTGAAAACTCACTCTCCTTCAGTGGGCAAGGTGACTGAAAGACAGAAAGGCCCCTTGGACAAAGGTCCCTTAAGACTTTAAACCTTGCAAATCATGAAGCTGATTCCTCAGCACATAAAAACTTCTCTGAGTGGCCTCTCTTCCTTCTTGTGGAAGGGCCAGGAAGGCAGAATTCTAGGATGCTCTAGGCTTGGGGTAGGGGGTGGGGCTGAGTTAGTTGATTTGGGTAGTTGAAGGTCTTCTTAGGGCCTCCTGGTGTGACTTTGGAAGAAAATACCTTTTACCTACCACCAAGAGTTTAAAAAACATTCTTCAGTTAACCAGTTAGTTGTTATTAAGCTGTGTGAGCATCCGGGAGCCAAGAACTCTAGCTTTCCTCCGTTCACTCACTTATTCAACAAATACACTGACCTGCTGTATGCTGGGAGGGGTGTGGGGCACTGAGGACTCAGTGGTGAACAAGACAGTGAACAAGGCCTCACTGGAACATGCAGTCCAGAGGGCGTATGAAACAAGGTGTGGGATAAATACTTAGCATGCTTGGGAAATACTAAAGATTGACCATGTCTTTCTTTTGGAGATCAGAACATATTAGCATTAATATAGGCATTGACAAAATCTTGAACAGACTCAACTTTGTCTAATCTAACATTTCCCAAATTTCATTTGGCCATAGAAGTCTCATTTAACTCATGGAAAAAAAAAATTAGAGAAGTATTAGGAAGGAAGAATACAGGGTACAATAAGAATATGTAACACAAGGACTTGACCTGCTGAAGGAGGTAGTCCTGGAAAGCTTCCCTGAGGAGGAGGTGAGGTTTTAACTAGGGCAAGCCACTTCATTTCTTTGAGCCTCAGTTCCCCACCTATAAGATGGTCATTGTGCTGTGGTATCTATCTAGCCACGGATGGAGTTTCCCAGATGATTTGGCTTGAACCTTTCATTTCATAGGAGAGAAACTGAGGTCCGGAGAGGTGGAGTGACTCTTGCAAAGCCCCACAGCAAAGTAGTTATAGGCCTGGGGCTGGTACCAATTTCTGATTTCCAGTTCAGTGCTTATTATTTTGGGTTCTTTTGCTTTAAAATTTTGTGAAATTATAGAACCACCACATAGACAGCTTAGAAAAATAGGGGGAAAACCCATAGAAGAACACAGGATCCTGATAATTCAAGTGTTTAGTTTAAGTAGTGGTTAAGGGCAAAGATCCAGCCTGCCAGGATTTGCATCTCATTCCTCCTCTTACTGGCTGTGCCTCAATCTCTGTACCTGTAGACTGGTAATAACATTAGTGTCTACCTCACATGGTTGTTAGGACTAAATGAGTTAACATGCCAAACGCGTAGAACTTTGCTTGAAAAATGCCAGGCACTTAGTGAGTGAATAGCATTCATCATCATTATTTTCTTTATGAAGCTGGAATACTAGAGAACATAATTCTTGTCCTTTTTTTTTTTACACAGCAGTCATCATAGGACATTTTCCCTGTGGCTTTGTGGAGTGGCTGTGTCATGACTTCCATTTGCCTCATCTGGGTGGACACTTTGGATGCAGCCATTAGTTTGATGTTATAAAAAAAAATGCCTTGATGGACATCTTTGGGCATGAAGCTTTCATCTTTTGGCTGGTTTCCTTAGTGTCCCGGAAGGGGATTTGCTGGGACAAAGTGGGTTTTCCACTGGCCCTCCTAGCCTTTTAATGAAAGAATTCTGGGGGAAGAGGTTTGGGAGGCAAAACACAGCTTGCAGGGCCAATTGGTGCCTAAGGAGGGGGAAGAAGCCATGTGCGCCTCTTTATCCACCTGGGACCAATTGGGGATCAACTGTGTGCTAGATGAGGCCCTCCTCGACTGGCATTAGTTGTATTCTGATGATTGTATGCCTGAACTTGGCCTTGTTTTCCCAGATATACAGCTCCATGGCACTTGAGACAAATGAGAGAGGGCTGTCAGTTTAAGGACTATGGGTGGGTGGGGCAGATCATGTGGTATAGTCTAATCCTCTGGTTGTACAAGTGGGGAAACTAAGGCAGGCCCAGAGGTAAGGGACGAACCCAAAGTCACTTGGCTAGTTGTTGGCAGAACCAGGACTGGAATCTATATCCAGTGCTCTTCACACTGCACCATTCTTGCTTCTCTGTTTATTCACTGATTCATTTTTTCATTTATTCTCTCATTCATTTGCTTGCTACCTCATTCAGGATCGTGTGGTAGGAACAGAATGGACCTTTTATGGCAAACAGTCCTGGATTCCAATCTTAGTTTGTCCTGTGTAATCTTCAACAAGAGACTTTACTTCTCTGGCTTTTTAATCTATCCATTGGGGATAATAACCTGCCTACTTGGCTTATCATGGGAATAACCTTTGATAGTGTGTGTTGGAGGGTGGTATGGTGCTTGGCACAGAGTATGAGGTACATACATGTCAGCTGTTACTAGTAACACACATTACTAATTCTTAATCTTTGCCAGTCTCTGTAATATCCCTGGGGACATGAAGATTGTGTCCCTGTCCCTGTCAACCTCACAGGAGGGGACTTTCTGAAATAACTGGGAGAGAATTCTGGTGAAGCCCTGCCTTGAGGTGAAAAATAAGCCCAACACACAACACCAGGGTGGCCTGGTTTTTAGTTAAGTGATTGAATTTTCATCTACCAGATTTCCAGTGCCTCAGTAAAGCTGAGAAGGCAGTTGTGGAAGATGGTGTCATTGTTTACCAACCCACTGTTAGGGGCAACGCGTGAGAAATAGCAAACAGCCGGCAGCTAACCGGTTCCAGCCCTGCCTGAGGTCTCAGAGCCCTGGACGGATGAGCAAATGAGCAAGAGCAAAGCTCCACCCCCGGGGCTCCAGCTACTGCTTGGAGAGTCAGGCCAGCGGCTCACGGGTCACACACATGCAAGCCAGGATGGTGCGTGGGGGTGACACCAAGGCTCTGCCTTCTCATCCCTGACCTGCGTGCGACTTTGGGGAAGTCACTTCCTCTCTGAGGGCCTCTGGGGGCTTTCTCCATGCATTTTCTCCGTCAGCCATTCCCTAGGCCACAGGAACATAGTCACCCCAGCAGATTTCTGCTTGTGGGGCAGGGAAGGACATCTCAACCCCAACAAGAGTGTGTTGAGGGTAGTCTTAGGAGCACTGCACTTATTATTTGCAAGCCCCCAAAAGAGGTGATGGGCTTCCTTCGGGCAGAGAGCCAGGGAAAATGTGCTTTCTTCCTGGGCAGATCCAGCATACTGAGGAGAGAGCTTTGTTTCCCCACTTTACAGAGTCTGTATCTCCCTCCTTACTCCAGGACTCTCTCGGATGTGCTTTTAATTGAGCTCAAATTGTGTCAGGCCACCAGAAAGGGGGGTTTGAGGCCATAGGCCCCTGCAGCTGGGGTGGTCCTGAGGGGAGGGAGAGGCTGGGAGTTGGCCCTTCCCAACCCTGCCTGAGACACTGAGAAGACAGGCAGATGTAGGCACATCTGGAAATATACAACTGGACACCCCAGAATCTGTAGAATTCCCCAAGGCCCTTTGTTTTATGGGGAGGCTTCTGGCGGGTATTTTTCTCATGCAAAGGGAAGTGAAGGGGCCCTGCCTTTCAAGCTCTTTTCTTTGGGAGGTACAACCTCCCCCCCACACACACACACAGTGGCCTGGATTTTCTGGGCCTCTCCCAAATTACGACGTGGACTTCTGGGTACAGCAGTTAGATGTGCAGGCATACTTGGGCCAACTGTGTAGATGGGTTTCTATGTGTGTTTTCCTGAATGTGTGCAGGGTGTGTTTGAAGTTATGGGCATGGATGTGTGCCCCTGTCTGTGCCCAAGGAAAAATGAAAGTAAACCTATATTCTCTCGCTTTGACATTCTTTTTACAAGTTCAGTTCCAACTCTGCACCCCTTCTCTCCCCACCATAAATGGATGTGAAGATGTGGCAGATTGAGAGAGGGAATCTGCATGTTGCAACCTCCCTAGCTCACTTTCATTTGGCAACTGTTCCTACTCTGCCCACCTCTGTCCTGAGATCTGAGACCCAGTGGCCTGGAATGCCTGGTGGTGTCTCCTGTTGATGGTGGGGCGTAGCATCAGTGTCATTGTTCCTTTTAGTAATTCACTGTTATTGTCTGATTCCCATGTGTTCTTTATACCATTCTAGTATTTCCCAGACTTACGACCATGAAGCACTTAAGAAATTGTACCAACAAGAACTTGTGGGATCTATTGTCTGCTGAAAGGCAACTACCAAAATAGTATCTCAAACAACCATTATGAAAAATGATCAAGATTTGAATGGTGTGTGTTTGGTGTGCCTGCTAGAAATGCAGCATGAGCCACACAAATTTTACATTTTAAATTTTGGCCAGGTGCGGTGACTTATGCCTATAATTCCAGCACTTCAGGAGTCTGAGGTGGGAGGATTGCTTGAGCCCTGGAGTTTGAGAACAACCTGGGCAATATAGTGAGACCTCATCTCTACAAAAAAATTTTAAAAATTAGCCAGGCATGGCGGCATGTGCCTGTAGTCCCAGCTACTCGGGAGGCTGAGGCAGAAGGATCACCTGAGCCCAGGATGTCAAGGATGTGGTAAGCCATGATCATGCCACTGCATTCCAGCCTGGGTGACAGTAAGACCCTGACTCAAAAAAAATTTTTTTCTAATAGCCACATTGAAGAAGTAAAAATAAACTGGTAGAATTAATTTGAATAATGTATTTTGTTTAACCCAAAATGACCAAACTATTATCATTTCAGCATGTAGTCAGGATAAAAATGATTACTGAAACATTCCACTTTTTTCCTTCCTACTCCCTCAGATGTGTCCTGTGTTTTCACCTGCGGACTTGTGCCATTTCATGTGCTCAGAAGCCATATGTGGCCAGTGACTGTGATATTGCAGAGTACAGCTCGTTTCTGGAAACTTTTATCAGAAAGAGAAGCCTATTCATTGTCCATTAGAGCGAGTGACATTTTTCTTTTCTTTCTTTTTTTAATTTATTTTTTGAGTTGAAGTCTCACTCTGTCACCCAGGCTGGAGTGCAGTGGCATGCTGACGGCCACCCCAACTTCGACCTGCTGGGCTCATGTGATTCTTCCATCTCAGCCTTCCAAGTAGCTGGAACCACAGGCACGCGCCACCACGCCCAGCTCATTTTTTACAATCATCATTGAGCCAAGGTCTAGCCAAGTTGCCCAGGCTGACCTCAAACTCATGGGCTCAGGCAATCCTCTTGCCTCCACCTCCCAAAGTGCTGGGTTTCCAGGTGTGAGCCACCGATCCTGACTCTTTTATTAAGAGCAAAATATTGCCAGCCTGACTTTTGAACCCTTTTGGCAAAACGCGGATTAGCACCTCCCCAAAACAGCCGAGGCCCCAAATTAAGCAGTCGGCTAAATGCTCTGCATGCCTTCCCTTAACCAGCCCTTCCCTGTCATCCCCCGCAGGTCTGGTTCCAGAATGCCCGAGCCAAGTTCAGGCGCAACCTCTTACGGCAGGAAAACACGGGCGTGGACAAGTCGACAGACGCGGCACTGCAGACGGGGACGCCGTCGGGCCCGGCCTCGGAGCTCTCCAACGCCTCGCTCAGCCCCTCTAGCACGCCCACCACCCTCACAGACTTGACTAGCCCCACCCTGCCAACTGTGACGTCCGTCTTAACTTCTGTGCCTGGCAACCTGGAGGGCCACGAGCCTCACAGCCCCTCACAAACGACTCTTACCAACCTTTTCTAATGACTCGTGTCCCCTTCCCCAGCCCCACGATTTCTTTAAAAAAGAAATTATCTTTAGTTGAATTCCAAGTGTATTTTAAAATAGAGGCTTTGAGCAACTAACTAACCACATTTTAGGATCTCGCCTGGAAACAGAGAAAAAAAGAATTGTGCACCCGGCTAACGCAGTGGTGTGGACTGAGGAATTACTTGGAAGATCTATCTGCAACACAACATTTGTGTCACTGTACAGTTTTGTGGACTGAGCGAGGAAAAACAACAAATAATTTAAGTTGGCTAGAGCTTCTGTATTTTCAAAGACTGCCACGTGCCTTAGGAATACTGTTTTATCTCCATACTTTGGATGACTTGTTCATTTTTCTCTCCCTCTTTTTCTCTCTGTATATTTATGACCAGAGCAAAAATGTAAAAAACAAAAAACAACAAAAAAAGTTTGTTACTTTGAATAGTCCTAAAAAGAAAAAAAAGAAAAAAGAAAAAAAAAAAAGGAAAAATCAAACCCCCTCCAACGGTCGCTTTGTTGTTTTAGAATTTTAAGGTGGAAGTCTGTTCGAATATCAGAATTTGTAAAATCTAACCAGTAATAAAACCACTTATCGAAACTACTTGGTGCTGCTGCCATTAAGCTGGGTGTGAAAACCACAGGACTTGAGAATTTTACTGAAGTCCAGAGATAAATTTCAGAGTCTTCAGATATTCTTGGGACCCACTCTTTCTTTTTATTTATTTATTTATTTATTTATTTATTTATTTATTTATTTTTATTTTTTATTTTTTGAGTTGGAGTCTCACTCTGTCGCCCAGACTAGAGTGCAGTGGCACACTCCCGACCACCGCAGCCTCAACCTGCTGGGCTCCGGCGATCTTTCCACCTCAGCCTTCCAAGTAGCTGGAACTACAGGCACACGCTATCACGCCCGGCAAATTTTTTTGATTTATTGTAGAGATGAAGTCCCGCCAATTTGCCCAGGCAGGTCTCGAACCTACGGGCTCAGGCAATCCACTCACCTCAGCCTCCCAAAGTGCTGGGATTACAGGCTGAGCAACTGAGCCCAGCTCTTTCATGTGGGACTTTGGACTGGTTGTTGAGACCCAGAGATAGAAATATAGTCCTGCCCTCAAGGAGTTCAGTGTGGTGACAGACTAACTAGCTCATCTTAACAGGGTGTGATATGTCTTAAGTGGAAGACATATTAACAAAGTACCATTCATTCATTTTTTTTTGAGAAAGCAGGACTTATTAAGAGGACAGAAAAGCTCCCATGGTGGGAGGGTACCTGAGGGGGTTGCCCCATTCATTCTTTCAAGCATTTAATGAGCATGCCCTGCTATATACGTGTGGTACAGAGGTCAAAGGCCCTCACACCCAGCTTGTCTGCTCCTGGTTGGGCTGGAAGGCATGCCAGGTGACGAGGGAAGCCTCCTAAAAACCTGCAGCTTTTCCCTAAGAGAAATGAACGCTGGATCCAAAGGGCAGCTTAAGCTTCAGCTTTCCTAATGACACAAAATTTAAAAATCTCCCATGAGGGCCAAAGCAAATGAATGCGATTCCTTTACTAAAGCTTCAGGGAACCTCAGAAACCCAGAGAGGATAGAGGTTTAGAGCCAGGCAGAATGAGGTTGGAGTTCTTGCTGTTGAATAGCGTGAGCTGAGGGGAGTCGTTTCACTCCTCTGGGCCTCAGTTTCCTCAGGTGCAAGATGAAGATAATGACCTTCACAAGGAAGTTGTTGTGGGACAATGTGAGATGTGTTATAGGGCCCCAGAGAAGGCCTGGAATGTAGGAGGGACTCCATGCATCTTGTTGAATGACAGACAGGTGACATGTGAGGACCTTGCAGGTGGCGAGCAGGAATGTGTGTATCCAGGCATCTGGCATTGCTGAATGAACCAAGCAGGTGTGGTGTCTATCCACTGGACATTGTGCACTCCTCATTTCTTGCTCTGAGAGTCCTGCTTCAGAGTACTCTGTTAGAGGCTTCATTGTATGCCTGTGGTTACCAAAATGCTCCCCAGTGGCCCACCAATCTGAAATCCATAGGGAAGATCATGGTCACCTTGAAGAGAAAACAACCAGGTAAGATTGAGCAGAGGAACAATCCAGTCCAGGACTAGGGTCTCTCTTTCCTTCTCTCTCTGCCATCATGGTTGGGACAGGGTGGAAGGAGGGAGCGGACAGAGAAGTGTGCTGAGGGAGCTTCAAGCCTTGACTGATTCACTTTCTGAAATCCCAAAGCACATGTGCCTGCACTTACACACACACGCATACACCACTGTAATCATTGCTATTTAAGCCCAATACTTTTTGGGCAAACTTTTATATTGACCTATCATGTGCACACATCCAAAACGAACAGCTTGGTTAATGTTTTTCAAATGAACACACCCATGTAACTACAGCCCAAATCAAGGTATAGAACATTTTCAGCACCCAGAAATCTCCCTTGGGCCCCTCCCTGCCAATCTCTCTCAAGATTGCTTCTATTTTTAATCTGTTTTTGATCAGAACATTTTTGCTGAATGAATTCAGGAACTTGGCAAGAGTAGCCAACCTGCAGCTAGTGGCGGGGAGCCAGGATTTGAACCAGGTCTGTCTGCCACCAGACACCATGCTCTCATTCTCAAGTGGACACATACATCTATCGTCACATTTTTAAGCAAGGGGGTTAAGAACTTCAACTTCTCTAACTATCAAGTGGGGTCATGGAATCTGTTTCTCACTGAATCTGTTTCTCACATGAGAGAATGCAAGCAGAGGGTCTGGCTGTGAACAGACTCACAGACACACCATGATGCCAGTTACCCTAGCGACTCTTACATGTGTTCACAGACCCTCATGGATGGATAGACCCACAGGCTAAGGTCCTCACGCCCAGACAGCACCACACAAAGACACACACACTCACACACACAAACACACACTCACTGACAGACAAAAACAGGCCCAGAGGCTCACAGATCTACCTAGACAGACATGCAGACCACCCCACACAGGGAGACCCACACACAAACCCAGACGTGTACACATGCAAATGTTTGCCGGCACCTAGACGCCCCCACGTAGCCTGGCTATGCCCCTTGCTCAGGCCCGGACAGAGCCGAGACTGATCCCTATCTCGTCTATCAGCACTGCCACCCAGATGGAGAGGGCCCTGGAATGATGCCCAGGGGTCCCCACCCCCTGAGCATGTTTAGAAGCCAGGGTTGCTGCTGGGCCAGGGATGGGGATGCTAAGGAGGAGGCACTATTTTCCTCAGGCTCAGACTGAGCACACCCCCGCCACACACAGACTCAGAAAGACAGAGTGGGGGAAAGGCAGGGAAAGATACAGGGACAGAGACTAGGAGACAGAAAGAGACAGTGACAAAGTTACACAAAGAGACAGAGACAGAGAGACAAACAGAAAGACAGTAGAGGGCAATCCCTTCAGGTCCCCTCCCATTTGTGGGAGCTTTTCAGTCCTCTCAATAAATCCTGCTTTAAAAAAAGAAAGAAAGATAATAGACACAGAGATGGGGAGAGAATAGAGTCAGAGAGGTAGTGACAAGGCAGAGACACAGACACATGGAGAAAGAGATACATGAGAGAGAGAGAGAGAGAGAGAGAGAGAGAGAGAGAGAGAGAGAGAGAGAGAGAGAGACTGAGAAGGGAAGACTCAAAGATAAAGGAAGACCCTGGGACAGACTTAGAGGCTATGAGACACCAAGACCCGGAGTCAGTGGAGAAGCAGAGCTAGTCCCTCGAGGCTGGTGCAGAAGACACTGCAGGAGGGAGGAATCCAGGGACAGATTTAATGCTAGATGGGCAAAGGAGGCAGGCATGGTGGGGCAGGGCCTGAGGAGGGGCTGAGGTCCACACTGTGAGCTCTGCCCACCAGGGGGGCAGCAAGGGAGAAGGCGCTGTCTCCACTGCCACCTGAAGCTCTGGGGATCTCTCCAAACCTCCCTGCAGGCTGACTACAGTGGGCCTCAAGGGGCCATCGAGCCCTCTGTCGCCATGGGGAGTTTCCTTGTTCTTGAGACCCACACCCAGGCCTGGCACTAGGCAGTCTTCAGGGACAATTCTTTTTCTCCAGAGACAGAAGGTTCTGTGGCGGATGGAACAGATCTTCCATAGTCTCTGCCCTGAAAGCATTTTGACAAGGTACTTAGCCACCCTGAACCTCAGTAAAGAGACAGTGATAAAGGTACACAAAGATCTGTAAAATGGGGCCAATGGTATCCACGTGCAGGGGCTTTGTTAGGATTCAACGAGAGAATAGGTACCTGCTTTATTCGTGGTTTGACTAAATCCTACTGGGAGCCATGGTGGAGATGTGAAGAATTGTCTCGAGAAGTTAGGGGGAAACTCACAGGAGAAGGTGACAATTGGGTTTGCTCTTAACTGGATGGAGAAGGGAAGCCAGGAAGCAGGCCCTTTATGCCTTCCTTTCTACTTTCTGCCCCCTTGGGCCCTTGCTTTCTCCTTGGCCTAGTGCTGGGCACCGAGGACTGGGGACATGGAGGTGACTTAGCAGCAGCTCTTCTCTCTGACTCCTAGGCTTTCTGGGAGACAGATGTATCAGAAGCCAGCACAGCACTGTCCAGCAGGAGGGAAACCTGAGGACTGCAGACCCCAGAGACAGAGAGCGTGGCTCTGCATGGGGTAAAAGTCCTACACAGCACTCTGCACCTTGTGATGTTGTCTTATAGGCCCTGTCAAATCTGTCCCACGGCCCTGCGGAGGCAGGACTTGTCACTTCCTTTCACAGAGAAACAAGCCAAGGAGAAGCCACTTGCCCAGGATTACAGTTTGGGGGCCGCAGAGACATGTTCATGGCAATTCAATTCAATTCAGCCAGCATGAGTCAATGAGTCCATGGCGCCAGGAGGCTGGGGGTACCCAGGCAATTCAGGTCTACACTGTGGGCTTGTGAAAGCGGACCAGGTGCCAGTGCAATTGGGACTGGGCACTGGGGAAGTCAGGAAGTCCAGAGGAGGCAGCTAACGTAGACTGGGACTTAGAGGACTTTTTGTCCTAGAAGATCAGGCAGTTGACCTAGAAGTGTTTGAGGCAGAGGAGGGACTGAGGGAGAGGGCAGAGCGCATGCTCAGGGTGTGGTATTTTTCCACCAATGAACAGCATCCACGTGGACGGGAGCGAGTGTCTGACACTTCTTCAGAGCTGGAAGAGGCCTGGGAGAGGCTCTAGCCAGAGCTGCTCATCAGAGCCACTCTGTGGCGTTTCCACGTTATCCTGCTGACCCGCCACCACCTCTGGGGAGGAGTCCAGGCTGCAGTGTCGCATACAAAACTTCTTATGATGGAAAATCTCAAACATATACAAAGTAAACAGAAGAGTACAATGAACCCCTGTACCTACTGTTCAGCTTCCATTGTTGTCAACATTCCCTCACTCTTGTAACATCTATACCTCACTCTCTCGCCACCCCCAACTCAATGATGATGATGATGATCCGTGCATTTTTCAAAAGTCCCTCAGGGCCCGGACGATGGCTCATGCCTGTAATCCCAGCACTTTGGGAGAGTGAGGCAGGAGGATTGCTTTAACCTAGCAGGTCAAGACTAGCCTGTGCAACATAGTGAGACCTCGTCTCTTAAAAAAAA